CAATTTTGTCACTAAGACCACCGTGTTCTAGTAACCATCTCCACAGCCCCCTGCAGGTCCAGCGAGTGGTAAATCCTGCTGGACGCGGCAGCTGCCCTCTGTCCACTTCCTGCAGCCTTTCTATTTCTTCCCCTACAAACTGCCGGAACCCCCAGGCTCTTTTACTTTGCCTAGCGTTGGCCATCATTTTTTCCCAGGCTTCTAAGAGCCACCCCACCAGTGAGTTTGCCCCATCCCTTAGGATCCTTGCAAGAGTGTTAGTTAAATTCCATATCCTGAGAAAACGCTTATCCAGTCTCAAGGAACTCTTGGAATCCAATCCCAGGTGTATTCCCCTGGCTGCCGCTAGTACATGCAGGTTAAGTTTTGTAATTCTCCCCTCCCTCATAAGGCCTGGCATGTCACCTGGGTTCTGCTGGGATTTAATACAGGAGAGGAGGTAGGGGCACCCATTGTCTTATGGGGGAGAGGCTTCTGCAGCATCTTCCAGCTCAGCAGGAGTGGTAGCTCTTGCTAAAGAGGGATGGGCCATGTCTGCATGCCCAGAGGGTGGGTGTGGAGTGCTGTGTGTATACAGAGACAACGTATTTGGAGACATCCATCCAGGTAACACTGTCCCAGACTTCAGGATCCCAGGTTTTCCCTACTGGAGCCTTGACCTTTGCATAACAGACTTGCCTTGGTTGAGTGTTCAAACATCTCTGGAGCCCTGTGACTTCCAGGTCTGCAGCCTACCATTCATTTGTGTCTGCCTTTCTATTACTGGGGATGACAATCTCCTTACGAGCTACCACAGAGGCACTCTGGTTCTCACACTTAAACTGCTCTGTCTCGTGAATCTTCTTCACATTGTCAAGAGATAGCAAATTGGTGAAGATGTGGAGATAAGGGATCCCTTGTACACTGTTGGTGGGAAGGCGAATTGGTGCAGCCACCGTGAAAAACAATATTGAGATTCCTCAAAAATTAAAAATGGGACTACCATATGATCTAGCAATCCCACATCTAGCTGTATATCCAGAAGAAACAGGATTTTGAAGACATATCTACACTCTTGAGTTTACTGCAGTATTATTAACAATAGCCAAGATATGGAAACAGCCTATGTGTCTGTCAATGGATGACTGGATGAAGATGTGGTATATATATGTACAATGAGATATTCGGTCATGAGAAAGAAGGAAATCCAGCCATTTGTAACAACATGGATGGACCTTGAAGGCATTGTGCTGAGTGAAATAAGCCAGACAGAGAAAGACAAATAAAGTATGATTGCACTTATATGTAGAATGTAAAAAAAAACCCTGAACTCCTAAAAACAGAGAATTACCAGCTTCCAGGGGGTGGGGGGAATTGGGGAAGTGTTGTTTAAGGGTGCAAACTGGGAACTAGTAATAAATAAGTCCTGGAGAGCTAATACACAGCATAGTGACTAGTCCACAATACTGTTATAAACTTCACAGCTGCTAAAAGACTGGATCTTAATTGTTCCCGCCACAAAAAAGAAATGATAATTATGTGATGTGTAATTAATAGAGGTGTTAGCTAATGCCACAGTGGTATTGTATTATATTACATTATACATCATATTGCAATATATAAATGAAATCAACAATGTACACCATAAATGTATACGTTATGTGTCATTTATATTTCAGTATATACATACATACATACATAGCCAGCAAACTTTGCTATCTCTGCATACATACATACATACATACATACATACATATATAGCCAGCGAACTTTGCTATCTCTGTTAGCCCTAGGTTTTTCAAATGCACCATTGCATCTGCCACAGCACTTCTTGCCACCAGGGCCCTTCCCTGGGCCACCACCAACAAACACTTTAGCAACTGAACCACCATCTGAAGGCACCGTGCATGCAACCTTCAGGGTGGTACCGGCTCTGCTGGGTGCTGGGTGAGCCAGCCCCAAATCTCCCCTGAGAGCCTGTTTTCTCAGACCATAGGTATTACCGCTTATTAGTCCAGGTCCTCTGAGAAACGGTCACTAACCTGAGATTAGATGCACAAGGATTTTATTAGCGGAAGAAACTGTATAAAAGGAAATAGGAAGTTATGGAAGGCTGACAGAGCGGAGGGAAGGCGGGCAGAGGGAGAGGGAGAAATGATGGAGAGAGATTGGGTGGAGGAGTTCGTCATTGCCCTGCAGTGTGACGAAGGTCTGGTAAAGCTGTCAGGAATGGCTTCTGGCTAGCATAAGTCTGCCTAAGTAGTCCCACCTCAGTCAGTCACGGGACAGGGAGCAGCCTGGGGGGCAGGCCGTGGCCTTCACCCACATGTGGCCGTGGATTTCAGAGGGAAGCAGCTAAAGCCGAGTCAATTACACTCGTGCAGTAGGAGGCTTGCGAGGAGCGTTCTCACGGCCGCCGCAAACCGCTGATCTTCCCAGCAGCCTACCTGCATCAGCCGTGAACTCTGGCTTCCCTCCCATAACGACGCTTGAAACGTTCAGTTTCAGCACTGGGTCTCATTCCATCTTGCCTCCCCAACGATTTTAATCAGGCAGTTACCCCCCACTGCCCCATATCATCAATTTTCCCTGGATTATTCCTATCAATATCCAGTAACATCTTCCCCCCTCCAGTTGCCCTTCTGTTCCTTTGCTTCCTGTCGCAGAAAAAAAGGAACTCTTTGAACTGTCTACACTTGCGGTCTCCACTTCATTTCCCATTCTTTTGCTCATGATGAAAGGAGTGTTATTTTTTATGATCAATTAAATAGTTTAAGTTCAACGTGGTGGGAAGCAATAGCAAGAAAACAAGTATCCTCTGGAATTATATGATTTTTAAGGTTAGTGACTATCACCCTTTCATTTGTCTCTATGTAGAGACACATCGCTTTATGTAAAAAAAAAAAAATTATGTTATTTTTCTGTTGTTTCTCCTTTTCACAGTTTTGAAGGTTTTGTTTATATCCTCTCCTCTCTACATCTCTTCATTCATGCCCACTCTCCTTCCCTTGTTGATACATATAAACGCACACATGCACATTATGTAAACAAAATACTATGTATCCTTCCATACTTGTCTTCCTGCTTTCATAGGCAGAGCTTTTGTTTGTATAATGGAATCATGCTGTGAATACTTCTCTGTAGTTTGCTCTTATTTAATAAAACCTCATGGAAAATCTTTTAAATTATGAATACAGATTGATCTATATGGTCAATATATAATCATTTATTCAACCATTTACCTATTGATAGGCATTAATTCTTTTTCTAGAGTTTTGCCATGATAACCATTGATACTACACACATACACACACACACCCCTCCTACTGGTTCTGCTTCTTTGGTCCAACTCTGAGTGTTACTAATTGTTTAGAAAGCTGTGATAACATCTAGACAAATTAAGAAGACTCTTTGAGCATTAAAATAAAAAATTTAAACTTAAAACTTAGAGCATCCGCTTCTTACTTGCAATATCATAAATTTTACATTTCACGTGTGACTCCCATTAGAAAAACTTCTGAAATACATTTGAATCTATACACATTATTAAGTTTAGCCATATTAGATAAATTAACTATAGCCATGTAAGATTTCATGTGAAAAGTTTTATGCAAAATAATATTTGACATATTTATACATGTTCAAAATTTACTTTCATACTTAAGAAGGAATGTAATAGCCAAATTTAGTTTTTTAGAAATTTTTATTTTTTAACAACAGCCTTATAAGAGTACATAGTCTACCTTAAGATAAATGCAAACACACAAAGAATTAATTTCATAACAAACAAGATATGTGAAACTATTTCTGTTTTGAGTAATTTTAGAACATTTTTCAGATCCTGAATTTGATGACGCTATGAGCTTATATTTAGTATTTCTTGGTCAAACACATCCTTTCAATATAAGTATATGTACACATTCTTTCTACATACATATATCCATAGTAAACCAACTTTCATCTTTCTTAATCTTTTACTCTCTTTGTTTTGTGAATTGGTGCATAAATATATTGTCTATAAATCCTCATATAATGGAAGTAGCTCAAAACTAGAATACTGAAGAACAGTAGCATCAGGAGAAAGAGAAAAGCAATAACCAGGTCGCCATTTGGACTGAAATAAGAAAAAAAAAAATCATTAGAAATTATGGAATAACTAGCTACTATACCACTGACAGAGAACAAAGATTAATAAGACATCTTGTCTACCCTCAAAATGTTTAGTGTTTGAGGCTGACCAGAGGAAAATAGACAGTATGATTAATATATGAGAGAAGTGGCTGCAGAAAGGCTATAGTTTCCTAAAGTTACTTAGAAACGACACGTCTTAGCTCAGGTGCAGATTATTTGCACCATTAACTTCCCATTAGCACAAAAAATTGAGGAGTCAGTAATATTTCAAGTAGGGCCATAAATAATTGCTTGTCTTTCACTTTTGTTTAATATTTTACAAAACAAAAACAAAACCAAAAAAGCCAGGTCCAGGGCAGAGAAGCCAAGTCATTTGTGGTCTCAGTTTTACTATTAAGACTTTTTACTCTGCTCTCCAAAGACACTGGAGAGGAGCCCAGGGTAATGCTTTTACTACACGTTTCTTGGATGCATTGGGACGATGGCCAGTGGTCAAGGGCTGACTCGGGGTCGGTGGGGGCACAGCCACTGTCCCCTCCCAGTCCCACTGCCACAGTCTCTGTGTGTCCCTTAGGTGGAGTTGAAAGACATGTGGCTGTTAAGGGGGGTGGAACAAAAGGAGACCCCGGCTGCAATAACAGTTCTTAGGAATTCCTTTCTGCCGTGTCCTGGCATAAGAGATTCATACACTTTCTAGGACATCCCATATAGGGCAGAGATATGAGTGTCCCAGGAAAATGGGAGGTGTTTGTCCTTTTTAGCTGCCACCCGTGTCTTTTACAACTCCCCTCATTAAAGCCTGATTAGGCACAGTCATTACCTGGAAATCGTTCCATAGATTTCTATTGCAAATATGGCCGTGAGGTTACAGAAACTGCAAATCAGAAAAGTAATATCAAAGAGTAAATTAAGTAGAAGATATTGAGACTCCCTCCACATGTCTATGTTAACAATCAAATCATATCTAATTTTAGTTAAGGTGTTGTTTTCTTGAGAATAAATATATTTGCATAACAGCGGTGATGATTTTTCCATATGCGTGACTTAGGTAGCTCACTATAAAATTCCTAGGGCTTGTCACTGCAACCACACTGTCCTCCTAAAAGCTTTATACTATTTTGATGGTGGTTCCCAAGGCCACAGAAATAATGATATTAATAATAATTAACAGTAATAAGTATTGACAAAAACAATAATTAACATATATTGAGCATTGCTACTTATTGAAAATGAATACTAACTGGGCATTTGCTGTGTACAAGGCAGTGTACCAGATGCTTTCCACGAATTATCTTAGCTAATCCTTAGAGCAACCCTTCCTTTTAGATGAGAAAACTGAGGCTCAGATAGTTAACTACTTGCAAAAGTTTATCCAGCTGTGAGTACTAAGGCTGGGGTTTGAATTCCGGGTTTTCTGGTCAAAGAGCCTGTGATGTTCACCTGATGCTGGCTGACCCCTTTGGGAAGCTATGAATGTTAGAAAGTCGATACATGAAACTGTGTTATTATATCTAGCGTTACTGAGTATCTCTCATAACTTAGCATAGCGCTTAGAATGCAACAGGATGTAGCTAAACATTGATGATCCGATTTCACATAACTTCATGTGGGAGAAGAGAGAAGAAACTTAATTTTATTGTTTGCTAAATGCCCAGCAAAATTAGGAATTTTTACCCAGGGTCTTCATTTAATCCTCAGAATACTATAAGATAGGTGTTACCGACTCATTTTACAGACAAAGAAGTAAGCTCAAAGAGACAAAGCAATTTGCTTAAGACTCCATAGCTACTAGTGGCAAAATTAGGATTCAAAGCAAAGTAGACTTTCTAGCACAATGCCCTCAGGGTCCACCCATGCAATTGCAAATGGAAAAATTTCCTTTTTTTTTTTTATGGCTGAATAATACTCCGTTTTTTATATATACCACCTTTTCTTTATCCATTCTTCCATGGATAACACTTAGATTACTTCCATGTCTTGGCCATTGTAAATAATGCTGCAGTGAACATGGGAGTGCAGGTGTCTCTTCAAGTTAGCGTTTTGTGGAACTCTTCTGTTAATGGTGACCCCAGATATGACATTTTTTATTCTTTTTACTAGGAATTTTCTCCCCTCTTGACTTAGTGTAACTCGTTTATTGGACTTTGTTGAGCAAAATAGAAATTTTATTCTCTCTTGTCACCAGATATCCTGTCCCTGGATAAAATATTGGGCAGAAAATATCCAGGTAACAAAAAGCCTAGTCCAATCCGCGTATAAAGCTTTAGTCTCTCGAACAGTAAGAAACTTTTTTCTTCCCCACGCTTGGGCCTGAATCATGCATAAAGGGGTAGCACTGGGCGTGGACATTCATTATCTTTTCTTCGCTAAACTTCCCTAAACTTCCTCTCCCACTTGCTAACCTTCCAGAGTTAGACATATGTAAGAGGAGAAGATCAAAATTTTAGGTGCCTGAGAGGCTTCGTGTTTTGGATGCCCAAACATTAGCTTTTTCTCTGAGGGGAGAGAACTAGCGTTCCAACAGCAGCACACGAATGGCTTCTTCATACACCGCCATCTTGTAACTGAGAAATGTCACCTGATGTTCCAGGACTCAGGTGACGCTTTCTCTGCGTGGCCATTTACCAACCATACCTCAGCTCCTGGCTTCCTATGGTTTTCCCCACATGTTCTCTCTCGTTGGGGTCACCTTACCCCTGAGGTGAGCAGGGACAGTCCCTTTCATGATGACCCAAGTCCAGTTTCCTTTCATGAGGTCCATATATGAACCCATCTGAAAGTGTAGACATTTCTCCCCAACACTGGCGAAAGCCCCATTTCCATGCCCCGTAGCACCCTTTAGCTTTCCTTGTGTACCTGAGGCAGCCTTTTACCTTCAAGCTTTCTAGATGAGCATTAGGGATGGCCTGTGTTCCCCACTCCCAAACCAAGAGGCCCAAGTTAGTTTTCCTGAGCGGTTCTCTGAAGCTCCCTGACTTGAGTTGGGGGGAGGGAAAATACACATTCAGAAAACTCTCTTTGAAGAAATCCTCACTATTAGCCTTATCAATTCTCACCTTCTTTGGACGGCTAAGGAGGGGAAGGGGGAGGAATCGGTTTTGAGAACCCTCTTGTCAAGTTCTGCATTGACGATCATTTTTAGGACATGGAAGAAACCGGTTTTGGGGCTTTTGCTCAAAGTGCGAGATGGAGAGAATGTCGTTTAAATATCCTGTTTTACTGGATTTTCCTATTAACTTTCTATTTTTTCTCTTCATTTTTTCTTTTATTTGAGAAACCTTCTGCTCAGTCTCTTTTCTCTGGAAAATGTAAATTCTACTAATGTTCCATATTCTCCAGGAAGTTTTCGTCCGATGTTCAAAATAGCATTGACCTTCCTCATCTCCGAATTATTATTCTGCCCATCGATAAAACAAATGATTATATTTGAAAAATATCTCACGTATATTTGCGCTGATTTAACCTCCTTGATTTGTGTGTACACCCACTCCTTTCTCAACCAGTTTAATCATAAACATCTTGAAGGCTGAGATTGTGCTTATGTTATATTTGCATCTGTCACAGCCAAGGAACACAGTAAAGTACTCAAACGTAGCTGCGAATTGATTAATTTAATTAATGTTTAACATGAAATCTTATCTCCCACACCCATAGAATGTTTAATGTGATTGCTACAAAATGAAATAGCAAATATATAGATAAGAATAACGATAACTGAATATCTGGGTGACATCAAATTAAATGAAGAAAAGAAAACTTTGAGGAACTAATGCTAAAACTATTAAAAAAAAAAACATTTATATTCACCTATAGTTTGGGTCCAGGATCTTCACTCGAAACACATACATTCCAGTATGCTGCATCGGCCACACTAAATGGTTATAGTTAGATTTGTTGATAATCTCATATGGTTGATTTAAGTCTCCTGGTTTTCCAACAGCATAAGAAAAACAGTGCTTATAGTTCTGAACAGGAAACAAAGACAGAAACCTTAAAGTCATTATCTGGCTTTAACAGACAAACTTATATTCTCATCTATTTATCTTGGTAAATTATTTAGAGATGTAATGGCTATCCCCTCCTACCATTTTAACATTGTATAGTAGTTTTAGAAGATATATTGGACTAACATTTGGTAGAAAGAGAAGTTTAATGAAAACAAATGCTATATTAATTTTTTATTTGCAGATGATAATAAATTAGTAGGGTGTTGAGAGTATAAGCATATCATTTCCCTAAATCAAAAAAGCACAAAATCCTCCAAGGATGCTTAATTTGGGGACAGACACTACTTTGATCATAAGGTATGGACACAACAGTAGTCAAGGTGGTATATCTTTGGGTTTTCATCTTCCCCTAGGACTTTTATTTATTCAGTTATCACTACCATGTCCCTCTGTGGATCTCGAGATACAAACTAGAAAGAATATTTATCCCATGTCTCCTCTTTTAAAAGCACAGATGAAATGAGCCTGTATTTTTTAAAGTCTCTTTATTAAAGCTAAGAAAAGAACATTAAAAAATTGTTAAATTTGCAGATCTGTGACCCTAAAATAATACAGAGCATTGCTTCTGTGTTCTTTTAGGTCCTGTATGTTTTCACACTGGATTTAAAGGATTCCTCCTCGACCAGTCTGCTCTCTGAGAGGTTTCTCATTTGAAGGAAATAAGACTTGTGAGGCAATTACTTTTGATGTACCAGAGCTTTTGGCTATCAATATCCTTTATGCTTTTTTTTTTTCCTACCTATCTTTTGGGGTCTAAAATTTGTGCTTCCATCTATTCTGGAATAGATGGAGGGATAGATGCTCGTTGAGAGATGTCACGTATTCTCAGTGTAGCTGAATTCTTTCTTTAGCTTTTGAATGAGCAACTGTCATTTGATTCGTTCACGTGGTATTGATTTCCGGTTCTGTCCTGAGACTCTCTCTACATTGTGACATTGTCGATACGATGGTATGGCAGATAGGGTATTTTTTCTTAACTTCTTGGTTTTGGAAGTAATCAGGAACAGATCATATAGTCCCTTTATTTGGCTATGTAACCTCTGATAGACATAGCATTCCCTTGTACAGCTCTCTCGATTTATCTTTACATACACTCCAGTATTTACCTTCCTGTTTGTGAATTTTTTGAAGGTGATGATTGCCTCCACACTGAGAATTCCTCGACTTCTCTTTTAGCAGGCTATTTTCTTTTATATATATAGGTGAATCATTCTATAATTATATTTTAATTATAAGGGCCGTTCCTAAAACTCTTGGTGATTTTCTTTAATTTAACGAAGTGATACTACACGTCTTGATAAACTACAAAATAATTCTTCCACCTTTCTCTTTTATCTACCTCTTCTACTATTTCTTGCCTTTGTCTCTTTCTACCACTGCAATCTCTGACATATTTATAAAACAATATATTGGGTGTAAAAAACAATATATTGGGTGTAAAAAGGCTTATCGTCATTATTACTTTTTTCCTTTGGACACTGAAAAACTCATTTCTGCCTTTTCCTTATTTGTTTATTTCTTTTATATTGGCATATAATTGACAACACTATACTAGTTTCAGGTGTACAACATAATGATTCAATATTTGTATATATTGTGAAATGATCATCACAATAAGTCTAGTTAACATCTATCACTACACGGTTACAATTTTTTTTCTTGTGATGAGAACTTTTAAGATCTACTCTTTAGCAACTTTTAAATATGCAATACAGTGTTACTGACTATAGTCATCGTGCTGTGTAAATAAATAATTCCTGATCACAGGAATTATTTATTATATAACTGGAAGTTTGTACCTTTTGTCCCCCTTCACCCATCATGCCTACCCCTATCCCCTGCCTCTGACAACCACTCATTATATTTTGATGTATCCTAACTAGAAAACATGATACATCACATACATATATATATTTGCATATATATATATATGTAATTTATACATACAAAATTGGTGGAGGGGTCTTCTAGATCAACACTGGCCTAGGAACATCTTGTTCCACCGAGTTAGTTAACACATGGGACCATGAACTTGATTGAAAGAATACGTGCCATATGCTAAATATGTGCAGGAATGACATATATCACCACAACAAAGCATGGCTAATAAGGACATATTCATCTTCTATAATCATATGTCTTTTTTGTAGATACCTGGAAATGTTCATATTGTTTTCAATTTCCTACCTACTTATGTTGTAATGTGACTGATGATAATACCCATTGACCGTCGCTCTTATTTTTGTGTCATACCTGATATTTCCTGTTAAATTATTGGACTTTTGTTTCAATTACTGTTTTTCCCTCCTTTCTTTTTCGGTTGAAAGACCACTTGATCAAGCCATCTAGTCTCGGAGAATACAAATCTTCCCTAGCCTCATGGATTACACTTCATTTGCAGCCAGAGACTTCTCAGACTAGCATGTCAGCCAAGTCCAGAAACTCGAATCCCCTCCCGAGTTCCATGCACGGAGCCGACCATTCGGTGCTCACATCCTCCATTTCTTTCTTAAGCTCTAACAATAACTTGGAAGAACCTGTGATAATGGCACTTCTTTTTTTGAGTCTTTCAGTTTTTCTCCTGAGAATTTACAATCTCTAGAGTTTCCTTCCAGATCTTTTATGCAAATATCGTTCATCCCCGCAGAACCAGGGCTGTGTAGCAATCAGTGCAGCCCCCAGAACTGGAATGTTATTTCATTCCAGGTGTGTTTCAGGAAAAGAGCACCTCTGATTGCCATGTTTAGTTAATACACGGTTCAGTTACTATGCAGTCAATATACCCTTCTTCGGTAAGGATGTATTAACTTTACTCACCAGGATATCACTAGTATTCTATTATCGTCAGACTCCAGGTTGAATTCACCCTTTTAGCAGTGAGCTTTGTGTTTCTCAGACAGTAGGATTGAATGTTTAGGGCCTGGTGTGGGCTCTCCGAATCCTTTTACAATGTAAACCACTATTTCAGTGGTTCTTAAATGTGACCGCGAGATCAGCAGTATCAGCATCACCTGGGAATTTGTTAGAAATGCAAACTTTTGGGGCCCACTCCAGATGTGTCGAATCAGAAATGTTGGCGGTAGGGCTCAGAGCTCTGTTTTAGCAGTCCCCCAGGTAATTCTGATGTACACTAAAATTTGAGAACTACTACACTATATCGTACTAGTTGAGGTGAGTTAATTATCAGGTGGCTCATCGTTTCCAAAGAAATATATATTATCTTGGCACCATCTTAGAACGTTTGGGCATGCTTTGTGAGATTTTGGCATATAGGGTATCACCCATATCCTCAACCCCAGGCCCTTGGATGCCCGACAACAAAAGTCAGGAGAGTAAGTTCTGTTTTTTACTGATTCCATTATTAGTTTAATTTCTAAGGATTTCTTGGAATAATACTCTTTATAACAGCTAGGTGGCTTATACTCAATTAATTGGTTCTACAAATATTTATTCAGCACCTGTAATGGGTTAGATGCTGGGAATACAGCAATGAACAAAACAAACATAATTTTCTTTTGTCATGGAGCTTCCATTTTAGTTGGGAAGCCTTATAACAAGTAGGATAAATAAGCAGAGGACACAATGTGCCAGCAAGTTATAAATGCTAATGACATTAAAGAAAATAGGGTAGGAAGATGTGGACCATCATGGGGTGATAAGTAACTTTTTTGATAGAGCAGCCAGGGAATTCATGGCTGACTAGTTGATTCTTAAGTAAAGACCTGAAGGAGGAAGCTAACTTAGTCATGCGGGTGGGAGCAGGAAGTCACGTAAGCTTTGTCATAACGAAGTGAGGTTGGAGCCATCGCATGGTTTTGAGCAGAAGAGAGACATGTTCTCATTTGTGTCTTAGAAGGATCGTTCTAACTGCTGTCTTGTGAATAGATTCATGGCAGGCAAGGCTGAAGCAGGAAAACCAGTTAGGAGACTGTCGTTACAACCTAGATGGTTGGTGATTGTGGCTTGGAACGGTGGTGACAACTGGGGTGGTGAGAAGTAAACAAATGAAGGAGATATTTTGAGGGGAGAGCGAATAAGGTTTCCTGAAAGACCAAATGGGGCATAAGATGACTCTTAGAGGCTTTTACCCTGACCAGACCGATGGAGTTTCCGTTATGTGAGGGAAGAAGGAGGGAGTGTGTGTGTCGGGTGGAAAACAGAAGCTCGGTTTTGGACATGTGAGGTTTGAGATGCTAATGGAAGCATCAGCAATTTCGTCCGTCCTTCCTTCCTTCCTTCCTTCCTTCCTTCCTTCCTGTCTGTCTTTCTGTCTGTCTTTCTGTTTGTCTTTCTTCCTCTCCTTTCCTTCCTTCTTTTTTTTTTTTTTTTGTATCATTCCCATCAGTAAACATGTGGTTATTTCTTTCAACTTAATTAAAAGAAAGAAGACCCACTTTTGACCTCATCACTCTCCAGCTACCACACTATTTCTTTCTCCTCTTTCCTGCAAAACTCTTCATCGGAGATGTCTCTTCTTGCTGCTTTGAATTCCTTTTTTCCATACTTAAACCCACGTCTGTTAAGTTTTGTCTCTCACTATCCCACCAAAAACGACCCTGTCAAGGTTACTTGTCATCTCCAAGTTGCTAAACTGAATGATCACTTTTCAATCCTCATCGCAAATGACCTATGTTAGTTGTGGGTTTGACACAGGCAATCCTTCCCTTCATCTGAGACTTGCTTTACATGATGCCCAGAACATCACACTCCCCTGGCTTTCCTCCTGATTCTTGGATTATTCCTTTTCATCTCCTTTGTCCCTCCTCACTTCCCCAATCTCTAGAAAGCAGAGTGACCCAAAGTTTAGTCTTTCTCTTTTTATGTCTTATCTCATAGTGTGTGTGTGTCTGTGTGTCTGTAAGTGTAAAAGTTTCCTTTTATGGGTCTTTGTCAATCCGGTGAAGCCTATGGACTACTAAGGACATCTTCTTAGAATAATGCTTTTAAAAACATAATATAAACTAGGTTCCACTACGAGGGAAACTAGTTATAAAGAATTATAGCTGACAGAATATTAAAAACAATATGGCAACATGTTGCACATTTAAAAATATTTGCTTCTTTAAATAATAGGATTTTGCACTGGGTTTAATAACAGCCATATTTTCTTGGTGAAGTAGGAAGGAAGTTCATCAGATAAGAATGAGGGTGGAGGGGAGAGGCGTTGGAGATTTTAGGAGAGAAGAGAAAATCTGCAGTCACTGTTCGTGAGAGGGAGAGGGAATGAACTAGAGAAATACGCTTATGTCTGTTGGGCAGTGTTATGGGACCGTTTTAATCATGAAATTAAAATGAAACAAGTCAGCATGGCTGTGTTTTCCTCTTGCCACAGTCAGCTGCTAATGCTAAAGTAGACAGTTGAATTTAACCAGGGTTATGATTTAGTCACACAAATAAGAAGTCAGGGGTGGGCAAAGGAATTGAGGGCGCATATTAATAGAGTGATATGGTTATTGATCATGGAATTTAACCTGGATAAAGAGGGAGAAGATAACCTGGAAGTAGGGTGAGGGTGGCAGGATCAATAGATTGGAGTTTTGCTGGGGTCGAAAGATTGTTCATAGGGTCGTTAGAGTAAAGATTCTAGAGTTATGTTGCTGGAAAGATAGGAAGTGGGGATGGAAAGTGGGATGCTGGGAGTGAATATAGAGGATAATACACATCATTTGCTGATCTCTCTGTCTTGAAATGCATAGGTTCTGTTGCGGAAACAACGTCACCTTATTGCAGGGTGTATATTTCATAGGCTGAGGTACCAGATGTCACCTTTTATTCATGAGTTATGATTTGATTCTCCAAATGACATACATTAATTTCAATTTGAGAAAATCAAATCGAAAAAGAGGGAAAACTGTATTGGATTGATAGTTGACATTCAGAAATGATTTCTTAGTCATACAAGAGTTGAAACTTTGGGCATTCTTTGAAAGACTCACTCTCAATGTTTCAACATGTTGGTCAGGATATTCAATAATCTGTAAACACAGATTTTAAGCAGAGAAAATTTAAAAAAATTGTTAGTAACACAGGAGCAACAGAAGGTCAAACAGAAATTAAGATGAAGCATTTTTGAAATCACAATATAATCCAACAAAAAAATTGGACTTGATTTATAAAGACAAATTTAAATCTAAAGTAGTGACATCATGTTTTTGTTAATACAGAAATGCCAAATTACTTACTATAAATAAATAATTTGCAAGGTAATGTTTTTCTTACCTCTGGTCCCCAAGCATCTTCTAATGGGAGGTGCTTGTTAAGCTCATGCATTGACTTCCATGTTTGGGCTTCATTTAAACAACCACTCTGTCAAAAGATTATATATATAATATCAGTTTGCTCCTAACTATTTAAGATATGTTAATGCAGTTGAAAATTATATGTTTAATTTTTTGTTATTTAAATGTTTGCTGATGTACAGAGAAACAATTGACTTTTGTATCTTGACCTTGTATGGAGAGAATTTAAACTCTTAACGTTTTCACATTATCTGTGAATGTGACAGTTTTATTTCTTCCCTTCTGATCCTTATACTTTTTATTTATTTTTGTTGTTTATTGTTTGCCTTATTACAAAGATCAGGAACGACATTGCATAGAAGTGACGATAACTGGCATCTTTATTTCATTCCTGACTTCAGGCTTTCAAATTTTCACCATGATGTTGTCTATAGTTTTTTGGGGTTTTTTTTTTTTTTGTATCTACATTTTATTAATTTAAGGAAGTTACCATCTATTTATAATTTTCTAAGATTTATTTAAAAATAATGTTATATATGGACAATTTTTAAATAAAATGACATTTCATCAACTATTAGAATAATCTTATGCCTTTTCTTCTTCATTCTGTTAATACAATGGAATACTTTGATTTTCAAATGATATCCCAACTCTTCATTTATGAAATAAACAAAACTTGGCCTGATGTATTATTTTTTAATACACCGATGAGTTTGATTTGCTACTATTTTGTTTAGATGTTTTATATCAATGGTCATGAGTGAGATTGGCTCATAATTCTTTTTTAAGGCTCTTGTCTGGTCTTTGTGGATTCACAAAATGAGTTGGAAAGTGCGCCCCTAACCCTAATACTCTAGAAGAGTTTTTATAAGGCTGAAGTAAAATTTTCTTTAAATGTTTATAGACTTTATCAGGAAAGCCATCTAGGGTTAGAGATTTCAATTTGCCTTTTGGAATACAAGTAACTTTGGTAAATTATGTTTTTCAAGGCATTTGTTCATTGTCAAATTGGTTGATATAAATTTGTTTATAATAACCATATATATATTTGGGTTGTGAAATGGTGATATTCCAATTCTATCTTTTTTTTTCTTTTCCATTTGCAAACTGGAATAATTTTGTAGAAACGATTCCTCTCTACTGTTTGGTTACCCACTGGTATAGTTTATTTGAGGAAAGTAAGATAAATAGTTGTTTCTTTTTATTTGCCAGTTTTCAAAATAAGAAATTGGTTTTTTATCATTCTCCAAAGGTGAACTTAAAAAAACTTCTTTATAAACAGATAGATGTATTTAATGGGTTCTAACCTATTGCAATAACTATCCAATTTGTAGCTAGAATCGTCCCATCTTTGGCCAATAAGAATCTCTTCGTGCTGGCTTCTGATTACTATTGACGTGACCTAGCAGTCTTTGACATTTCCTTGCCGTTGGGTATGTCAAACCATTCCAGGCTCATCTTGTACATTTGCTCCTCCAGGCTTGGAATCAGCCATTGTACTAAGAATCTCTGGTTACTTTTAGTGGGAAATGCTATTTCGAGACAACAATCTGAGTACTAAGGATGTTTACTGCTACTGGTTATGTTTCCAGGGATTTTAACAGACAGTATAGGAAAAATTTATCTATTTCTCTATACATCTCTCTATATAAACATTATATTTATATATCTATATCCAGATCAATATCCAGTACCTCATGATTTTATATTGAGTTCTATTCAAAATCAATATTTTTGTCTGAACTTCTATTTTACATATGTATATCCTTACTTTTACTCAAAAACACTTGATGAAGAATGATAGTTCTTCATCATTATACATTTGCTTTCTCTCACGTTACATACCTCATGGCTTCAGAGTAACAACACAAACATTACCACCACTGTCACGACTGCTAAAAACAGTTACTTTTCCTTGCATAAGCTATTCGCATTCTCCTACCATGTTTATAATTGTACTATATCTACATTGGCAGAAAATACATCCATTATATACTATCCTTTTTTCCTTTTAACCTTTATTTGGTTTTAGTTTTATAAGTAATTCTACACTATAATATAATGGTCCCTCTAATTCTTATGTTGATGTTTCCTTAGTACTTTTGGTTGTTTGAAGCTTTTCAGTAAATCACTCAGGAAAGGCTCACGAGAACAATGTTATCTGAGCTTTATACATGTTGATAGCAGTTTATATCTTTTATAGTGTTATCAGTTTTGCTGGATATAAAAATCCTTATCTTACATTTAGTATCTTAAATATTTTATTTCTTTTTCTCCTGACCTAATGCATTGCTATAAAAAATGTCTGGTAATAATTTAATTTTATTTTTCTTATAAATTGCTTGCTTTTTGCCAAGATGCCCTCTTGGTTTGGCTCTTCTGGTTTGACATTCTCAAGTATATGGTATGCTCTTTCAATATGAAGCTTCAAAGCTTTTTTCTCAGGGTGGGGTGTTTTGTTGAATTATTAATGTTGGTTTTGTTCCTTTCTTTGAGTTTCTTTTTTAGGGATTTCATTTATCTACCGATTAGATCTTCTTTGCTTATCTTTAACGTTTGTCACTTTCTCTCAAAATTTTTTATTCCATTCTTTAATTTTTTTTTTACTTAATTTTTTTCTTCTTTTAATTTCATGTATCTTGTAAAACATTATTTGTTGTTCACTTTCATTTTTAAAGCCTATTTCCATTGCATATAGAGTTTCAGGTTCAGAAATTATTTTCTTTCAGTAATTTAAAGATATTTTTGTTCCAAATTCTCTGGTTTTCATTCTTTCTATTGAAAAATCAGCTTTAAATCTTATAATTACTTTTCGAAGGCATTCTCTTTTTTTGATTTGGCTATTTTTAAGATTTTTTTTCTTTGTTTTTGATTTTAGAAATTTTACAATGGTGTTTCTGGATGCAGATTGATTTTTCTGTGCCTTGATGTCTTTCATCAATTTCAGAAAATATTGCTTCTGGCCAAGACCCTCTTTCCTCTTATTTTTAGGACTCCAGTTCTTACATTTTAGCACCGAACCTCCACTATGCTCTTTTCTATATTTTAAATCAGTTTATATCTCTGCATATAATTCTGGATATTTCCTTCTGACCTCTATTCCAATCGACTAACTCTCTTTTCAGCCATCACTCCTAATAGCTCAGATCCTAATTCCAGTTTCTGCAATTTCATTTTTTTTTCCCTAGAGGTGATCTGCAGCTCAAAGATAGGCATGGATAAGGCAGAAATATTGATGTTTAAAGGCGCCGTAACAGTGCACAGAGACAACACTGGGAACAGTGACATACAGATATTGGCAAAACAGTCGTCGAAGGACTGAACCATCGGAACTTAAGATAGACAGGAAAAGAAGAAAAATGAGAATGGTAGGGAGGGAGAAAGCAGAGGGTTCAATCTAGTGGATACCTAGATTGCATGAGAAAAAGTGAGAGGCAGAGGAATATTAGGAATAACAATGAGAGAGCTAAAGAATTAGGGGTTGAAGGTCGGAGACTGAAATGTTTGAAGTTAAATATAATTTTAATGGGGGGAGTTATTTGTTGAGGTAGTCTCTTCTGTGCAGCGATAATGAACCCCAACTCTCAGAGGTTTCCACATTAAAAGTTTAATTTTGGTCACACATAGTCCAGTGAAGATGTCCCTGGTTAGGTGGTTCTTACGGATGATTCTTCTCTAAGAAATGAATTAGGAACTCAGGCTTCTTCTGTCTCATAGCTCCTCAAAGTCCCCTCACTGGACTCTTTTCATCCAGTTCTCGTCTACTCCATATTTAATTGTTGCTGTAATAAACTGACATGTAAAGGAAGATAGGAAGGATGGAGGTTCATGTAGTACCTCTTTAAGCACTTCATCTTGAAAATGACACATATAACTTCTGCTCCAACTGCAGTGGTGAGAACCAGTCACATGGCCCCACCTAAGGCAGATGGCTTTAGAAAGCTTCTTCCTATCAATAACCGTACCTGACAGCTGGCACAATTTGGGACTCAACTGGAACTGTTCTCAGGGTGTGAGGAGAAATCATCAAGTTCTGAGTACATGGCAGTAATAAGTAGTGATGGGTTAGATGTCAACTAGATGACAAATGGCATTTTACTTAGGGCAAGGAGATAATGATCTGGAAATAATACTGTGGATTAGAGAGAACATTGATTCCACAGCTCATCCTTAAGTATATAGGTAAGAGAGAGGACCTTGGTTTGGTAGAAACATAGGGCAAGTGATTTTCTCTGAGGATCATTTATTGAAAAAGGATCTAAGGGCGTTTAACCCTAAGGTACATTTGGAAAGGTTTGAGTAGATGGAGAGTAATGGGAGTCTGGGCTGATGTATGCGAAGGATAGAATAGTTAAGGGATGAGACTGTGATGAGGAGGTAGACCAGAAGGACTTACATATTGAGTACTGAACAAGTACAGGAGGAATGTGTGACGGGGTGGATTTGTTGGGTCACATAATTAGAAGACAACTGGCTTTTACGGTACTCTGGAGGGTGGTAGCAGGCTGCCATCTAGGTGGGTTATATTCTTGGAGAATTAAAAAACGGTCTCAGATAGAGGAGAAAGTTACTTTGGAAAGAGTCATCTCTTATTTTGTTTGAGCACGAGATCTCTGGAGGATCTTCGGAACCCATGCCGGTGACTTTCAGAGAGGCTCTGTCAGGATGGGAGGCCCTCAGAGGCAGAAAGCCACTTGGGGTGAGAGTGAAGTGTGGGGGTCGGGCGTGGTAGGCCCTTGTGTGGGGCCTGCAAAGTGAAAGCACAGGGTAAGGGGGATTCGCTGTGGAGGCCGAGATCGACCAGTCACGGAGGATGAAGGAAATCTGAGAGTCTGGGGACAGTGAGGCCGAGGTCAGCGGACCAAGTGATGCAAGGAAGTCAAGCGAGATGAAGACTAGAGAGTGTCCATTTGATTTAGCACAAATGTGATCAACGTCCGAAAGCCAACGGCACATCCATAAATAACCAAACATTAAATACTGTGTGGAGAGAAAATAAAATGTTTATCTATAATTGCATCATCTTGCTAGAAACATTATTTTATTTTTTCTGACCCCTTTAAATCTGTTTTATATGACAATGACTTCTTTTTTCATAGATGAATTTTAGTAGTCACAGAATTTAATATAGAGATTATGTGGAGTTTTTCTTTTCCTACCCGCAGCTGACTGGTTTTATTTTCCTTAGACAATTTCTATACAGACTTAAAGTAAAAAGACACATCTAATTGTATGCTAAATTCTATTTCAATTCTAGGATATCATACCGTTTTCATAGTATTATTAAAGCTATAGTCATTCCTGCCATGTATTTCCCACACTATGAAATTTACATCAACATCTTCGATGTAGCCATCGTCATTGTATCTGAAAAAAACAGAAAACATAACAATAATAGTTTGGGTGTAGAACAGAGCAGTTTAGAGCTTTCAAGCCACATGGACTTAGGTTTAAATCTCGTCTTTATCACTTAACAGCTTCGTGACCTTGGGGAAGTTACCTAATATATATATATGTATTTTACTTAAACTCTTAAAACCTCGATTTTCTTACTTGTAAAACAATAACACCCACTGTATAGCTTTCCCTCTGCTCTCAGAATAAACCTAATAGGAATGAAGCAGAAATTTTTTCGCATTTTTTTTTAACAGTTGGAACCTTAAGTTCTCTTCCCTTTGATAGGAATCGTATATCGATCAGGTGTGGGTAGCTGAGGCCTGGCTATCACGGCTGGCAGCAGGGAGAAAGACATGACTGAGTGACAAATGGAGGAAGGACAAAGTAAGCACCTCCCTGTGCCATTTGATCAACGCACCAGAGCGTTAAACCACAGACCGACTCGCGGATCTCGACGGAAGATCTGGCTTCGTGTCGGAGGGTCAGCGCACACCTGAGGACTGAGGCGGGGATGACAGGCGGAAGTCGCGGGAAGCTCCCTGGAGCGATGGTCAGGCACAGCCCCCCCCGACCCTCCCCACGCCGCTTGGGGAGCTTGGACCACTTCTACCAGCAGAAGCCACAGCGCACAGTCCGACACCCGACATAAGCGCCATTGAGCTAAGACTACTTACCCCAAACTCTGTAAGTTTTAAAGGCGATGCGTGACTTCAAATTAATATTATTTCCCCCCGTGCTTTGTATGTAAATAGATGCTTGAGACCAAAGCTAAAGTTCAGTGACTTTAGTCACACATTTGCATACCAGACCTCCTGACTGCTTTAAAAATGGTTACATGTCTTTTTTCTCCATCAGTTATTGACCATTTTTTTTCCTGAATGAAATTGTCCCCTGCATTTCTTGGATGGAAATTTCGCTAAGGACCTTGGTCTCAGTGTCTGATATATTTTCTGGCGTCTATTCCTAAAAAATAACGAATCCTCGACAGCATCTCCTTATTCATTGCCCAGATCTCTGCCCGGCTCAGCAATCATTCTGTCTGGTGTCACGGGTCTGCTACACATTGCTACCATCTACTCCTGGCTATATTAAAAAAATATTACCCCAATTCTCACAAATTGGGCAGAAAAATTTTAAGTGTCACAAAGTCGTATCTGAGAGGCTATTTTATTTCCACCTTAGTTTTTAGAAAAGGCCAAAAGAGGAACCTGGGTAGCAGTGCTTGACTTCTTTCTCGGCCCAGAAGGAGGGTCCCAGAGAACTCTAAACTCTCACGAGCGCTCTCTCCCCACAGGAAAAGGCACACACGGGCATGGCACGCTCACAATTTCGTAGTTTCAGAGGGTCGGGTGAGGCTTTAGCAAAGGTCTGATTCTATGAACTGTGGAAGGTGCGGCATGCTTGATTGCATCTTCTGAAAGCCATCGTATTCTGGAATTATTAAGACTAGTTGCAAAGCTACATGTCTTATCTAAATACAAAAGATCTTAATTGAACGGTGAGCTGGCATCCGTTGCGACTTATGAAAGCGATGAGCTAGTGTCATCTAGTGGCAATAGGGATAAATAGCATGACCCCTACTTTCTGGGTTTATAATGATCTTTGATGTTTTATTTCATTGAGAATATGAGACAAAAATACTTGCCTAGGTAAGTATGGCTTATTTTCATTTATGCTCATTAATATAATATATAATACTAATTAAACCTGAGAAATTTAGAAATGTCACTAGTTGGCAAACAACTTCTCTACAATTTGTAACTTCTCCACTATGGTAGTTCCATTTTTGGAATTGGGAAAGATTGATCTCTCTGTAACCCATTAGACACATACTTTCAACCCTGTGTGACCTCTCAGGATAGCCCATTGTAACTGTGATGCTTTAATATCCGGGGCCTTGCTGACCCTGGGGGAGCAGACCCTCCTAGGATTAATTAATTACTAGACATAGTGAATAATTGGCTTTTGAGCATGCTTTTCATATACAAACCAACCAATCCAGAACCCCCACCCCCAACTACCTCCCTCATAAGCTCTCACACTCTGGGCCGCTATCCTGGGCCACCTGCTCTAATCACCCAGAGCCGAGCAGATATCAGACAACTATAGACAAGTCCTACATCCAGCACTCGTCAAAATTACTCAAACAAGCCAGTCCTAAGCCTGCTTACCCTGACCTATCCATGCCTTCCCACAGAAAACAGTGAAGTCTCTCACCCTCATTTCGCTTTCACTCCCTCTGCCTCCTGACTGATCCTGATGGCCCCGTGTGGCCTGCTGTGCCTCCCGTTTCTTGGGATCGGTATGTATAATAAGTTTCTCCCTTCATGACAGTCATTCCATGTCTGTGTGTCTTACAATATGTGATTAAAATAAATCCCATGTGCCCCTAAAAATAGTAGTACCTGTTCCTGAACTCCCCGCCCCATGGTAGAGCAATTATGTCCTACCCGTTTCCTCCGGGCTTGCGTCTGTGGCAACAAATTCGAATTTGGGATGGGCTGTCCTGGGAGTTGAGGGAGCGAAGAGGCTGCTGGGATGACTTACAGTCCCAGGTGGATCATACTCCCAGGACTTGCTTCATTCTTATTAGTGTTTGAAGGTGAATCTATTGTCGTTTTGTATGTAAAATTCTGCCCGACCTTGTTCCTGAGCCATTCTCTAGGAAGGTAAAGCATTGACCCTGATCTGAAGTCACAGACTACAGACTGATTTTCCAGTGACCGCCTCTGTCTGCCTGTTTCTCAAAGCTTAATTAATTAGCACCCAAATTTGCCTCCGATAAATACCTAATTGAATACCCGGTTATCAACTATGTATTGCTATAATTCAGTTGAACTGGACACTGAGTCTTATTGATCCGACTGTCCCTCCGTAGTTAGCCTCCAATATTTGTTTGCTTATCTCAAGAAAATTGAGATAAGCAAACAAATATTGGGGCAATAAGCTTTTCCAAGTGATTCCTGGTAGCAGAGATATAAATAATTTACTTCTAGGAAAAAAAAAAGTGCTCCCACAATAGTCCGAAGTAGGGCTTCCCCAGCAGTCCACTTTCTGACGCCAACCTCTTCCATTTTTCTCATGCCCTGTCATCTGCCCCTTGACCTCATAGTGATGTCCGTCCCCTGAATCCTCATTGCTTTCCTATCACACAGCAGCTCCCTCTAGCTTCTCTTCCTTCACTACTCAGCCCGATTTCATGGTTGATCCTCCGACCTCCTCCCACCAGCATCCTAAATTCACTCAATCGTTCTTCCCGTTGCATCCAATACCTAACCCGAACCTTGGATGCTACAATATGTCTTCTTCATTCGTGCACATACTGCTTCAGAAATTCGGCATCTGTGGGGATTGGACCCACTCGTGCTGTCTTACCTCGATGGTGCCTTTGGCGTTACCCAGTGATCTTTCACTGGTCCTTAGCTAGCCCCTTCTCGCATCACCCTCAGAGACCCTCCTCAACGCTTCCCTTCTCTCAGTTTACAGACGGCCCTCCTTCCTACTTCCTGTAAGAAAATGGAAGCTCTCACGCATGACCTTCCTCCACTCCTACATTCCTATTTCCAAACCCTTCACTTTCTGCCTTCAGTTTTACTTCTTCCCTACAAGTCCTAGAGGATGAATTATTCTTCCTCTTTCGGCCTTGCTACCTGGGCCTTTCATCCTACTTCCCAGTTTTCTTCACGGATCTTGTTCCTAGAGCTTATTTAATTTTAATTAGGAACTATTTAAAGTATGCAGAAAAACACCGGGAATAATGTGAAAATTGTCATAGGTCATTTCCATCCAGGTTTCATATTTTACTTATACATAAATGTATCCATAAATCATATCTAGTATTGCTTTATGGATTTGAAAATATACATACATGATATTAAACTGTAAGTATCTTTGGGTAACTTTTTTATTCACTCAACATTAGGTTTTGAGATGGATCCACAGAAATCCCCAGTCTCTTGATCTCTGTTTTCCTCATCAGCAACTTCCTCCTGGCCTCTCCTCTTTTCCTACCCAAACTCATGTCGATCATCTGAGTCCCTCTTACAAGCATCCTAGTTTGTTCCTTTTAACTGTTACACAGTCTTCCATTGTCTAACTCTACGACATATTCATATTCATCCGAATGTTCACTTTATTTTTCTATGTGTATTTTACCACAACTAAAAAAAAATCTGTAGTTAAACGACAC